CTCCTCAGTTTCAGCAAGCAGGGTTGTGTCATCTGCATAACGCAGATTGTTAATACATCTTCCACCAATCCTGATGCCACAATGGAGATAGGACACATCCTTGATGCATACCCTTCCCAATTTTGAACCATGCAGTGTTTCCTTGCTCTGTTCTGACTACTGCCTCCTGGTCCAAGTAAAAGTTTTGCATACAAATATATAATAAGTTGACACCATTTTTACCTTCTCTGTGTGTGGTTACTTGGCGTCCCTCTCAGACCATGCAACAAAGTCCTGTTCATATACTAGGTGTGTGTGTGTGTGTGTGTGTGTGTGTGTGTGTGTGTGTGTGTGAAATATATATAGTACTCCATGATTTCTTTAAGTCACTTCAGTTACATCTTTCGTATCTAGAGGCAAAAAAACCCCTTTATTGTCACTGAGTCAGAAGTGATTCATAATTGACCCTCCAGCAGGTTTTCAGAGGTTGTAAGCTGCACTGGAGGAGACTGCCTGTCTTCTTCCTGGAGAGCTGCTAGTGGATCAAAAATGTTAGAGAGGAGCAAGCAAACTGTAGATCAATGTGCAGCTTCACATAGACTAAGTGACCACAGATCCCTCATATCTAGTGTAGATTTCCAATTAAAGTTATAAATTATAGCTTCTAAACACTGGAAATGTAGTTCAAGAGAAAGCTGCTTAGTGTTAATACAGTATTTCCACACATAGTATATCTCCTTTGTCAGTTTGTAATAGCGCCTTTACCAGATCCTATCAGTCAAATCTCAATTTATTTCCAGATAACCTTGGAGCAGGACAGATTTGTGAAATATCTTATTACAGAAATGTAGAACATGTGGCCCATTTTAAAATTCAATATTAGTAATCATTAAGGTGTCATATTCTGTGGATAGCTAATAAAGAATAAACTTTAAAAGGTGAAACTACTACTTTTTACAGAAAATCAAAAGGGCTGGACTTGCTCAGCGTTTCTTAAGCTGAAGGAGCTGATAAACAAATTCAAGCCACAGGTGGCAATACTTAAGGATACTTTGGGTAGAATATTAAATGATCCAGGAAGTATCAAAAGAAGATGGAAGGAGTACATAGAGTCACTGTATCAGAAGGAATTGGCTGACACAGAGGAATTTCATTAAATAACATATGAGCAAGAAGAGCCTAAGGTGATGAAGGAGGAAGTTCAAGTTGCTCTGAAGGAATTGGCACAAAACAAGGCTCCAGGAGTTGACAGCATACCAATTGATTTATTTCAACAAACAGATGTTGTCCTGGATGTGCTCACTAAGTTGTGCCAGGAAATCTGGAGGACAGTCAGCTGGTCAACTGACAGGAAGAGACCGATATTTGTTCCCATTCCAAAGAAAGGTGACCCAACAGAGCGTGGAAATTATCGAACAATATCATTGTTAGCACATGCAAGCAAGATTCTGCTGAAAATTATCCAAAAACATTTGGAACAATATGTCAACAGAGAACTGCCAGATGTGCAGGCTGGATTTAGAAGAGGTTGTGGTACTAGGGATATTATAGTTAATGTTAGATGGATCTTGGC